TGGGGGGGGGAAAGAAGCATGAGATTTTGACGACAAATTTTGTGTCTGGTCAGTGCACTGATTTACTTGACACTCACGCACAACTTATAGCCATGAATCGATTTCATAAATGCATAAATATTTGAAAGTCCGCATTATCCTGATTAGGTAAGCGAAGAACGTTACCAGGAAAATTAATAACGACTACAGGAGAGCATAACTAACATAATAGAAAAAGTTGATACAGCTTGACAATTAGAGATCCAACTACAAGAAACGAAAATTTCCAATTTTCTCTCGTCACCAAATATTATTAGTGAGATCAAATGAATTAAAATGAGATTGTTAGAATATGTATCATATTCAGATGGCAAGTAACCTTCACAGGGCTTCAGTACAAAAGTCTGAATTGAACAGTCCACTTGGTTGAGTTAGACATAGATGGCAGAATAATATTAAAATGGATCTTGAACAAAGAACGTGTGGAATGGATGCAATTTTTTCACAATACGGATTAGAGACACGATAAGATGATAAAATTTCTGTGGAATCAATTAATAAAATAATTTTACTAAGTTTCGTAGCAACACACTTCTTTCCAAATAAAGATAAAGATGAAATGCAGTCGGTTTGCCGATTTAAACACAAATGTTAGCTCGTTTTGTCATTAGTTGCGTTGGGAATTTGAGACTTACCATCAGCAATTTTTAGCTCTGGTCTATTTCGTTGAGAACTTGTGGTATGTTCAAATCGGTGTGTTTTTATAATTTCTTTTTCCTTTGCATTAGGTGTGTGTAAGGTCCATTTCATCGCCATTCTATCGAGTCTTAATTGTAGCTATAATTGACCAATTGCATTCATAATTACCGGGGCTCACCCGTGGTCACACTCACTTCCACAGAAACAATCAAACATGCAAAATAAAATAAGCAAACAAACAATCACACATACACACACACGCAAACCCTCAAATACAAACACATGCTCAGGCACACATAAATAAAGAAACACAAACAAACACAAACAAGGCCACACATTCAAAAAAAATTCTATTAAATAACTGTCTTTCCACCATCTCCTTATCGTTTCCTTGGTTTCACGTTTTTCCTTTTCTTCAGAAAATACTTTAGGTTGATCCAATGAAGATTTTCCGTTTTCTTCGACGTTATCCATCTTAAATACTCTAAAATATCAAGAATCAGTATCAATCTTGTGCCTAACCGTATAACCGCTTGAGAGCTGACAATAAACAGAGTAACAATAGCATCGAGTAAACAACTCAATGAAAGCGACAATGCACTATTGCTTCGGAAGAGTTGTTTACTCGTTGCATTGTTGCGCGTTATTTAAACAATCCGAATGCAATGCGGAGATACAGGGTTGTCCAAGTCCGTCTGCCTGCCTGTCTGGTGTAATATTTTTATATCTACGTACGCCTATAATGTGGAGCCGGGATAGCTCAGTCAGTATAGTGACTTGCTACGGGCTAGACGGCCGGGGTTCGATCCCCGACGGGGGCAGAGGATTTTTTCCTCTATCCTCTGCGTCCAGACCGGCTCTGGAGCCCACCCAGCCTCCTGCCCAATGGGTACCGGGGTCCTTTCCCGGGGGTAAAGCACGGCCGGGGCGTAATGCTGACTACTCACCCCCATCTGGTGCCGAGGTCAAGAATGAGTAGGAGCTATACCTCCACACACCCCAAGCGCCTACATGGCGTATAGTGGGACAGCTTTACTTTACTTTTACTTTTACGCCTATAATGTAAAATAACAACATGGTAAATGCGTTAGAGAACAAAAATTATTTGATAACGATTAGATTCCAAGCATTATCACAGAACTAAAGCGTGTTGGGCATTATTTAAAGAAAGCATCAAGAACTCGTGATTTGTACTGTTTTAGCTAGATAAGAGCTGATCAACTAGTGAACACATTTCACTGCAGATGTTTAACTAACTAACAAACTAGATGGCTTACCGAATCCGAAGGTTCATCAGCGAATTAACCAAAACCCTCCACCGGACCCTGTCCTGGGCCAACAAAATCCAGTCTCCTTCGACTCCTATCTCCCATAGATCCCGCCTGAGATTATACTCCCATCTACGTCTAGGTCTCCCCTGCGGTCTCTTCCCCTCAGGTTTCCCAACCAGTAACCGATGCACACCTCTAGTCCCATCTATGCGCGCTACATGCCCCGCATATCTCATTCTTCTCGACTTAATCACCCTGACAATACTGGGGGAGGAGTACAGATTTTTAAGCTCATCATTATGCAGTTTTCTCCATGTCCTATCGTCTTCTCTCCTAGGCCCAAATATCCTCCTCAACACCCTATTTTCAAACACCTGCAATCTATGTTCCTCCCTCTGAGTGAGAGTCCATGTTTCGCACCCATACAAAACAACAGGCAAGATTATTGTTTTGTATACTTTAATTTTCAGATTCATAGAAATCAGACGGGAAGACAAAATATTTTGAACTGAGAAGTAGCAAGCATTTCCGGAATTTAGTCTCCTCCTAACTTCTTCATGAGTATCGTTTTGATTTGTTATTGTTGTTCCCAAATATTTGAACTTTGTCTAACTTTCAAAGGATTTATTAGCCACCCTAAGATAATTTTGCCTGCCTGTCTTCTGACGACGAGATACTAACATGTACTTAGTTTTTTCTAAATTTACTTCTAGCCCAACCTGTCTACTAGTTTCTAGTAAAACTTCTGCATTCCTCTTTATTGTATTTGTCGTCCCCCAATAAATTAACATCATCAGCATATGCCAATAGCTGATGTGTCCCATTCAATTGCAAACCCTCCTGCCTA